GATAGGAAAAATAATATTCCTAGTAAATTCTCGAAATATAATCCTGAGAAGAATAACACTAGGACTTCTAATAAGAAAACCCAATTTGTTAGATACCATGAGTGTCAGGGTTTTCATCACTAGAGGAATAACTGTCATAATATGAAGAAGAATTTGAATAAAGTAAGGGGTAAGGCATTAGCAGTGACTTTGAGTGATGATGAATCATATTCAAGTGTTCAGAGTGATACCTCTGGTGGTGAGGATAAACAATTTTTTTTGGCTTTCACATCTATAGCTAAGATTGAATCTGATAAGGAGAAGGAAACGATGGAGAATGATAAACATAGTGAGAATTCTGAAGATGTCTCTGAGGATGAAATCGATATTCATAAATCATATTGATAGTTATTTGAGGAGAGTCTTAAAATCAATAAGGTAAATAATGTGTACTAAAAAAGGTTAATGAACTTGAAAGAGAGAGATAGAGAAACTCTTAGGTGATCTTTAGGAGTCTATAAAAAATTTGGGTGAGTTGAAACTTGTTAATAAGAATCAAGAAGCTAAAGTTAAATCCTTAACAAGTGATCGAGAAAAATTTAGTACTCAACTTCATTCATTCATGAGTGGAACTCAGAAACTCGATAATCTTTCATGCATTTTCCTTTAAAGTATGATGGAATAGACGCATTCGAAAAGTATCAGCTGACATGTCTTCATGACTGATCACCTCGTAAAGCATCAGGAAAGCTTGTATGTGTACATGAGGAGTTTTAGTTGATTTTCCTGGGAATCTGATGTCCTATGATTCTGAAACAAATTGATGACATCTGGTCGAATGTGGAAGTTGGCCTACCAAAAGGTGGATAAATAATAGCCGGTTGCACAGAAGCAGGTATGGGATTTAAATAATCCCTAAGAACTGGATCTGGTTGTTCTGGTGGTAATTGAACTTGATTTTGATTTTCTACCATGTCTTTTACTTCTCTCTGTTATTTTCTTCATTGTCTGAAGGTTCTTTCGATCTCGAGATCCAATGGTAGGAGCTCGATTTCTTTAGAATCTTGCATAAACTACCAAAAATAAACAAAAGAAAATAGTTGTATAAATAATATCCTAAAATAAAATAAAATAAAATAAAAATTCGAATATTATAAAACTAATAAACAAAAATTAAATTATTCTCTTGCAACGGCGCCAAAAATTTGTTCGTACAAAATGCTCAAGCGTATGAGATCATTGACAAGTAATAGAATTGATGAGTTAAGAGTATCGTCCCACAACGAATACATTCAATCAAGTTTACTAACTTTTTATGAGATTCGAATTATATAAACAAAAGAGAGTTTGATTTTATTTTATGTTTAATTAATCTAAGAAAGCAATAAAAATGTGATTTTTATCAATTTATGGATGATTGTATTGGATCTCGAAT